TTTTAATTGCTAAATTTACAAACTGCCAGCAGAATTTATGCTATCTTTTTTTCTTTCAATGTTGAAAAATACGTTTCAACAAGTCTTTTGGAGGCAGATTTTACAACATAGACCCTATTTAACCTCATTTAAATGTATCATTCTCATCAGTAAATGTGTTATAACTAATTTTGAACATTTATTTACTAAAAAGTTTAATAAAGCATGGACCCGACAAAGGACGCTTTTATAACTCTACCCGAAAAGCATTTATTGAGATAATTAAATACACCATAGTAGAAATGAGGGTGACAGACTGCATTTATGGCTGGCTATTTGGTCAAACTAAGCAAAATTCATCTTGGTGCAACCAAGTTTTTCGGTTTAGTCTATTTTGAGTTTAACACAATCTATATCTCTTTATGTAAATGATCGAAAACTATAATATTTCCTCTTTCTAAGCAGCCTTATCCCAAATTTCACAACATTTTTATCTAGAATTAGATTACCTCAAAATTAGAGAAGCACACGCCGTTTACTTAAGCATTAGTGTTTTAAATGCAATTTTCAAAGTAGGCATCAACCCTTTCCAAAATGTCTTCATTCACAGAACCTTACTACTTAAACTTGTCTACAATTTTTTGGTTGACTAAACTCGTGTTATTTATCTCTTCGTATGGACTTATGGAACTTCGTCTTAGAATTGGCATCTACAAAAGTTATTTGTGGTAATTACATTTTCCAGACCAGCTATCCTTTTGGTAATTACAATTTGTGTCGCTGAACCATCCTTCATGTGACATTGTGCTCCTTCACGATGCCTCAGACTGCAGCTTAGGCGTGCTTCAGCTCACTTCATGTTACTATCAGTTTTTCGCATTTAAGTATTTTTTGTCACTGTTTTTGGGCCCACCTGATCTTTGACCCTTGTCACCATGTCCTTCTTTCTCCAGTCAACATCGTCTAACAAATAGCCTTCGGGCATGTTTGCAGGCTCCAGGAAGGTAGAGCTCGCCAAGGGATCTTGGCTTTTCCCAGGTACGTTTAGCAGCTTCTTGTAGTGCTGTCGAACGTCCAGCCTGGAGAACTTGGTCTTTTTGGGTAGATACTTCTCCTGGAACTCTTTCCAGCTGAGATCAATAAAGCCATTCATGCCGACGGTATAAGTCTCGAGGTGGGCGTCAAAACGGAGATTGTGCTGCTGAATGAACGCTACGTTCTCCTCCCATTGAAGGCGTCTGAGTGCCTCTTCCTGCATTGTTGGGGCGAAAATAGGCAGAGATAGTATATCATGGAAATATACGCAATGGAAGACAGGCTAAGTAGGTAGCAAAAAAGTGAATTTAAAACTTAAAACGAACATGAGGCGGC